CTGGGCTACCAAGTGAGTCCCAGGAAAGGCACACAGCTACACAGAGAAACCCTGTCTCGAAAAAAAAAATAATAATAATAAATAAAAAAAGAAGAAAAACCAAAACAACAAACACAGAACAACAATCAAAAACTTCTCTGCCTTCTCCTTTTGGAGTAGGCGGCCAGTCCCCCTTCTCCCCTCCCACACTACAAACGATGGACTCTCACAGGTCCCCTGAAGGGCTGGACCGGCTCTGCCTCCCTCGGCCTTCCCCTTCTCAGCCCTCACCTTGCTGTTGTCTGTCATGACTGGTTTCCAGACTGACCTCTGGGCTGCGCTACCTTCCTGGTTCCCTGCCTCCCTTGTTGCTAGGCACCAGCTTCAGGATGCCCGGAGGCTCCGCCCACTTGGCCACGCCTCCACGGTCAGTAGAAACATCACAAGGCCGGGCGAGGCCTACGTCAAGGAAAGAACCTGCGGGCTGTGCGCGCCGGGGCTGGGCGGGGTGAAAGCGTAGGGAGGCGCGGGCGACACCGGGTGACGCGACGCCGCGGAACGCACCCGGACGCCCTCGGCGGCCTGCGCCCCGCCCACTTCCTCCCTGCCCGAGCACGGAGGCCGCCGATCTCGGCCTGGATTGGCCGCCGCTGGACGCGAGGCGATGCTATTGGCTTAGGGCTGCCTGACGTCAGGGGGCGGGGTCCTGGCCGTGAATTGGGGCGGCATGGTGCCGTCCGGCCTTTTCCGCTCCGGGATGCGGCGGAGTTGGGCTTTGAGGCAGCGCGTCTCGGAGGCTCGGTTCCCCGGGAGGCGGTGGCTGGTGAGTGGGGCGTGGGTGACTACGCGGGTATCCGGGCCCGGCTCCGATGCTGCCACTGTCTCCCGGGTAAAGTCTCCCAAGGTCCTTGTCAGCCTCTTTTTTTCACATTTAAGATTTTAGGTTACATTTGTGTGTGCATGTGCCGTGTGTCTGTCAGAGGGCAACTTGGTCTCTCCTTCCATGTGGGTCTCGGGGATCGAACCTAAGTTGTGGGACAGCAAGTGCCCTTACCCTCTGAGCCATCTTGCCGAGCTCCTTGTCAGATTTCCCACTTAAATAGATGGCCGGCAGTATTGGCCGGCGCCAAACTTTTTAGGAGTTCTGCTCCCGCACCAGGGTGCGGCACCTCCAACTTGGTGGGGCCTCCAGGAGTTCCCAAACCCGTAAGCGCTCCTTCCGGACCCTGGCGCCCCTCTGTTCCCTAATCACTGTTCTGGGTCCTCCGTGAGAGATGATTCGGTCTGTTTTCTGTGGTGTTGCTGCAGGTGGCTGGCTTGGGGAACCATGGAATGCCTGGCACACGGCACAGCGTGGGTATGGCGGTGCTGGGGCAAATAGCGCGGCGCCTGGGAGTGGCGGAGAGCTGGGCTCGGGACTCGCGCTGCGCTGCTGACCTTGCCCTGGCCCCGTTCGGGGATGCCCAGTTGGTCTTGCTCCGGCCACGGCGCCTCATGAACGTCAATGGGCGCAGCGTGGCCCAAGCCGGTGAGTTTTGGCCTTCATGGATAAGTGGGCACAGGTACCAGAGAGGGGTGTCAACTGTGACAAGTGCCTGGTGAACCCCGGTTACTACAGCGAGGACTTGGGACCTGTTTCCATGTGGGGGTCGTTGTGATCCCTCTGAGCAGATAGGCAGTAACTAGGGTGTTTCCCTGTGCCAAGCGGAGCTGTTTGGGCTGGCTGCGGAGGAGATCTATCTGGTGCACGATGAACTTGATAAGCCCCTGGGGAAGCTGGCTCTGAAGCTGGGGGGCAGCGCAAGGTGAGGCTTGCATGTGCTCAGGTTTGGGTAGGGATGCTGGCCTTTGTCGGGGTGGGGTAGGGTTGCTGAGCCTATCTCTTCAGGCTGGGGTGCTCCGAAGGAAGCCTGGGCAAGGGAAGTTAGGGGGCTGCCTCAGGAAGTACTAACTGCTCCTCAAATCCCTCCAAGAGGCCACAATGGAGTCCGGTCCTGCATTAGCTGTCTGAACTCCAGTGTAAGTCCACCCCTCTGCCCTGCCCTGGGTGGGGGTGGCCAGCATGGGGTCCCCAGTGTATCTCACCAAGGCCCCCTCATCCCTCTGGCACCCCACAGGCAATGCCAAGGCTGCGGGTAGGCATTGGGCGCCCCACACACCCTAGTATGATCGAGGCCCATGTCCTGGGCCGCTTCTCCCCTGAGGAACAGGAGCTACTGTCCCCGTTGCTGGATCAGGCCGCCGACCTGCTTCTGGACCACATCCGTGCTCGAAGCCAGGAGCCACCAGTGGGCCTCTGACACCAGTGGACACATCTACCTGTTTGACTGCCTGCCGGTACCCTGAAGCCCAGACACAGCCACAGAACTGCCATGACACGTGGTACCCACTGCTTTATAACTTCTGGGTTGCCCCAAGCCACTTGCAGGTTGAGGGAGGGACTGTAGCCACAACAGTCTATGTCTGCACTGGCTTGTTCTCTCTGTGCGCTACTTACGGTGTAGGAAAGGTTTAGGAAGGCTGAACTTTCTGAATCTTTTGAGAGCTCCAGATGGGGAGATCTGCAAGATTAAAAGGTGCTTGCTTGAAATCTGAAGCCTCCTTGGGTGGGTGGGGTAATCTCCTAACCCATTCCTTACCAATGGGGTTGAGATAAAAAGGTCTAGCAGACCCTCTCCCAAGGGTAACATAGGTATGCCTTAGCCTGTTTTCGTTGGGCCATTTTACAGGTAGGGAGGATCAGAGAGGTCCCTGGAGCCGCCCAACTATGCATGGGAAAACTAGGGCCAGCTGTCAGCTTGCTGTCCCCAGGGTCCCTGGCACTCCTACCTCACTAGTGTTCTGTAGCTGACAGATCCCCATTCGGGTGACGTATGAGAGAGCCCTGAGGTCCTGGGGGTTGGGTGGGATGTGGACCCGGCGAGGCACCAGCCCGAGATCCCCAGGCTTGTACGTTGTGATGGCCGAGAGCTGCTGCATCAGAGAAGCAGCCGAGGTCCTGGATAACTGGGTCCTGGATGTCTGGGTGCTGATTCGGGTGTGGGAAGAACCGTGGGTCATCACCTCCATCTCCACAAGAGGAGGCTGAGGTTCTGAGAGAGAATGGAGAGTCTGCTGAGGCGCCCCCACGGGGCTGTCTGCTCACCTCTCTTTGGTTGGGCCCTGGGGCTGTTTTTCCTGGTAGCAGTGCATAGCCAGCTGCGGTTTGGAAGCCACAGCCGAGATGAGCAGGGCCAGCAACTGCTGCAGCAGCTCCTTGCGCTGCAGTTGGAACACTACGTCAAAGTCCCCGTCCTCGGCATCTGTTCGCATCTGTTGGTGTGATGTGAGACGGCTTACATACCAGTGGCCGATACCCACCCTTCCCAGTGCTGGGACGAAAGGCGTGCACTCCCGGGCCACACCCGCCCTGTTATTTTAAGGTGCTAAGTTGCCCAGGCTGGCCTTGAACTCAATCTGTAGTGCCAGTCAGGTCTTGAATTTGGATCCTGCCTCAGCCTCCTCAGTAGCTGGTTATGATCAGAACCAACTCTTTTTTTTTGTTTGTTTGTTTTTTCGAGACAGGGTTTCTCTGTGTAGCTTTGCGCCTTTCCTGGAACTCACTTGGTAGCCCAGGCTGGCCTCGAACTCACAGAGATTCGCCTGCCTCTGCCTCCCGAGTGCTGGGATTAAAGGCGTGCGCCACCACCGCCCGGCTAGAACCAACTCTTGAATGGATCTTTGGGGTCCAGAATCAGAAAAGGAGTCTGACCCGTGTGCCTCTCAGGAAAGAACTCTCTAAGCTTGGCCCGGGTGGCCCCTTGGCCTCTCCCGCCGCCGCTGCTCACCTGCACAATTTCCTGTAGGAGGGAGGTGGCCTGGGCCAGGACTGTTTCCAGCCTGGCCCGAACCTTCTGTTCCTCAGTCAGCTGCTTTTGTAGCTGGGTCACCTCTGCCTGCTGCTCCCTCAGCTGCTTTTCCAGCTGGTCTTTCTCACTCCTGGGCCAGGACAAGATAGAGCCCACCGCTTGCCCCATCTCCCAGCTCTGGCCGGCACCACCTCTTGCCGGGGCCCTGCCTGTTCTGTGCAGCCCATCTAAATCCAGGCTTCAGCCTGTCTGATAGACCGAACCCTGAGGCTGTGTAGACAAGGGAATTCCCAGGCCAGCTTCCACCTGTTTCCACCCAACTCAGGCTCACCTCAGGGTCTGGTCGTCCTTCTGTAGCTTCTGGAAGTTCTGCTCCAGTTCGGCCAGCAGGAGGCGCAGCTGCTCCACCTCCTCTGTGACATGCTTCTGCTGGCGGCACTTCTCTGTCAGCATGAGGATGACCTGCCGTGGTGGGCAGGTGTCCGTGTGCAGACTTCCGGTGGGACCCCAGCCCACCCTTCCTTCCTGCTGGAGCTACAGCCAGCACCACCCCTGGGTAACAGCTAGGCCCGAAGGTGGCCTCCATCGGTTCTGCAAATAGGCTCCAGAGCTAGGGCCGGCGTCCCCACAAGGAAGGCCTGGGCCTCACTGCAGACCCTCCCCACACCTCATGACTTGGCCTGGGGACCACGGTCATTTCACGTGAGGAGGGCACGCGGCCGCACCTTCTTATGGCCTCTGTTGTTCCTGGCCATGATCTCTTGGGTGTTCTCCAGGAGCTCCACCTGCTGGTACAGTTTGTCATGCACGCCCTTGAGTTGCTCGTTCTCCTGCAGCAGCTGCACCCCTTGCTGCGACACCCAGGACAGCTGCAGAGTCACGTTGTTGTTCTCCAGGATGGCCCGCCTGGTCGTCTCCCACATCTGGTTAGTGGCCACCTTGCGGAACTCGGTGGCCACTAGGTTCACACGCTGGATGATCTCTTTCCTTAGCCTGACCAGGAGGGTGGGATTGGAAGGAAGTCAAACAGATGGGTATGTATGTCTTGGAACCCCTTTTTTGGGGTGGGGATCCAAGAGTACCCAGGCTTTTCTGCAGAATCTCTGGGCCCTTGGAATTTGAACCATTGAAACACATTGTAATTAAAGTAACAAGTGCACAAAGGTAATGTTCAGTGCCAGCCCAGAGGTCTGGCGGGGCCCTAATAACTCCTTCCTTCCCTCCTTCCCTCCTTCCCTCCTTCCCTCCCCCACTAAATCCCAATCAGGGTTTGGGGGACAGCCTGGGGAGTCCAGGAGCCCCTTCTAGGGAGTGAGGAAGAATGTGGAGACTGGTATGTGTGGCCCCAGCAGGCCCCAGCCCGCCCACCTGTCCTTGTCCAGCACAGACTTCTTCTCCAGGTTGTACACGTAGTCCTTGTATTCACTCTCCTGCTTTTTCAGCTGTTCCTCCAGCATCAAGTACTTGTCTGTGAGCTCCTCTTTCTGCAGCCGAAATTCTTCCAGGGCAGCCAGCTTTCCCCCTGCCCATCAGGGGTCACAAGGCTGGTGAGGAGCTGCCCCCGAGAGCCTCCAAGGGCTCAACCTTGCCCATGTCTTCCTGCCTACCCTTCCCCACACACATGCGTTCTGCTCCAGCAGGACATGGCTGCACATGACAGAGCTGGCCCTGCACATAGGCAGCCCTTCCTGAAGCGCCTTCCCACCACTCTGCTAATCTCAAGCCTTGTTCAGCCCATCATCTCAAGAAGCCTCCCTGATACCTCCCCACGTGAGGGTGACCATGACAACCTCAGCTGAATCTGGGCAGTCAAGTCTTAGTGCCCCCTTCCAGATGGGTGCCATGGCTAAGACCATCTTTTTTGAAGCACATCCTCATCTACAAACTGGGGAAGAGGGGGCATTTCTGGCCTTGGGATGCAGGGACAACTAAGGCAGTAGTGTTTGAAGTAGCATGCTGCTGTTGCTACTCAAGGTGGGGCCCGGCCTCGCTCAGTGACAGCCGGCTGTGGATTTGGCTCTTGCAGCCTTCAGTGGTAAATTGACACAGGTGTGTTGACTGGTCCCCTCACCGAGGGCAATGTTCTCTGTGGTGAGCTGGTCCTTGGTCTCCTGGAACTCATGGCGCACCTGGGCCAGCTGTGCCTCGAAGGCGTCCTTCTCCATCTCCTTTGCCAGCTGAAGGCTCTGCAGCTGGTCGTTGAGCTCCGTGATCTCATCCACCCTCTGGTTGAGTGTGCGCTTGAGGAAGGCCACAATCTCTTTCTTGTTGTTGGCCAGCTGCTCAAACTCCTGCCGGAAGAGCTTCTCTTGCACAGCCAGCTCATCCCACTTCCGCTGGTACCTGGGGTGGGGCATGAAGGGGAGATGCAGGGTCAAGCCAGGCTAGGCCCGGTCACAGGCACCACTGGATCTGCTCTCCCAGACCCTCCTGTAAAAGGGCCATTTGAAGTTCCTCATCCACCCTGTACTAACTGTGCCTCAGGCCGAGACAGAGAGAGACACAGACAGAGAGACAGAGAGAGAGAGCAAGCACATAAAAGCCCTGAAGTCAGTGTTGAGCATCCTCTTTAGTTTCTGAGGCAGAGTCTCTCCCTCGATCTAAAGTGTGATGGTTTGGCTAGGCTGGCTAGCTGGTGAGCTGCACTGGTCTCCTTTCCCATCAATACCAGGGTTTCAGGGGCTCATTGCCATGCCTGGCTTTTCTCAAGGCTTCTGGGGATCTGAGACCTAGTTCTGCTGCTCGTCAGGACTTTACTGACCGAGTCATCTCGCAGCCAGCACTTTATATTTACTGCCTCACTCAGATGGGTTTTTGTTTGTTTGTTTGCTTGTTTTGAGACAGGGCCTCGAACTCACAGAGATCCGCCTGCCTCTGCCTCCCGAGTGCTGGGATTAAAGGCGTGCGCCACCACCATGCCTGGTTACCTCACTCAGTCCTGTGGGGACTGAGCCCATACTCTGCTCCCAGTGGTGTGGGGCGTTTACCCACCACCCCCACAGCTTCCCAGAGTTTTCTTGAGTGCGAGCAGCAGGAAATATTAGAAGGATTTATAGCGGAGAATGTTGCGGAGATAAACAGATAGAAAATAAAGGATAGCCTCGAGAGGGCCTGGAACCTATTCCAACGGGCCCCGACTGTCTCT